TGGATAATTCGGTCATTAATGCAATACTTTTCTGGTTTATTATACGGGTTATTTTAGCCGCATTTTTAGATATTGTCAGTATATTAGATACTTTATACGTAGTAGAACCAAATAGGTTTACCTCTAGAACTTTAAATTTAGTTGTTTGTGTAGCAATGTCTTGTGTGATAACTTTAGATAGAGAAATTATAAAAGCATATTCAAGACGTGAAAAAAGTGAAAATTCAACATGATTATTTTGCATTTACGCATAATTGAGGTCGTTCATTTAGGACAAGCAGCTGACAAAGATGTTCCTGGTGCTCAATTACGATATATATACTATTTTCGGTTATAAAAAAATAAAAATTTAATAAAAATTCCACCTTAATTAATTAAATATTTAACTCGAACTGCTAATAATTGTAATTATATTGCTCATTATTGGTTTAAGTGTAGTCATATTAGATAATGAACCTGGTTTTTGTAGTAGAGACAAATTGATACCAAAAAGAGTTTTAATGGAGAATGATATAGATCCGGGTACATAATGGACAATAAAAATACAAGCTATAAATGTAATCATGTAATCTTAAAAATAATAGCAATTTATAAAATTCAAATATTATTATAAATTTAAATTCTAAATAATAGCAATTTATAAAATTCAAATATTATTTTAAATTTAATTTTAAATAATAGCAATTTATAAAATTCAAATGTTATTTAAATTTAATTCTAAATTGTAAAACCTAAGAATTAAGGCTCCAGCCCACAAAACGTCGCCGCTTTTCTAGTAAATATCATCATAAATATGTCTTCATATCGAAGCCTTACTTTACTGAATTTCAGAAAATGTCCGGCTCCCGCTTCATTTGATCAAAATTTTAGGTTCAATATAACCGGAATTGAACCTAAATTAGGTTCAACGTTTGGATATCGAAATTTTGGTTTGAAATATTAGCTGACTTTTAATAATAATAATAATTTATCGGTTAGAAAATAATATTCTGTATCAAATATCATATATCATCGTATCATAAGCAAACATATTTAATAAATAAATCTAATGTTAGAATAAAATGCAAATAATTAGGAATTTTTTCAAAGCATATGCTATTGAATCAGAATCGGTCAGCTACACACAGATGCTATGCTTAATTGTTAATGCTTTAGACTCTTCAGAATCACACTACACTCTTCGTCAGGCGAATAGTAAGGACAAATCATCCCC